GTACAAATATCATTATCATGATCATGAACACCATCACTTTCATCACCATCGTCATCATTATTATCATCATCATCAAGTAAGAATCTTATAATATCATTCAAAACAAAATAACCATTCGGTTGCGTGGCAAGAAAAAATGTTTGTGCAAATTTTCTAGATGGTTCGTCATGATTACTCATCATGCCCAATACTTGAATGATTATTCCATTATCTTTTGATGCTTGACAGTCCACACTTGTCACAGCAACTCTACATTTTTCAAAATTCAATGATTTAATTTTTTCTTTGATTTCCTTGTAAGTCAAAAAAATAAAAAAAAAATTTTTTTAATATTTAATATCAATATATAAATATTGGTTACTATTGGTTATAATTTATGCCCGAATGTATGGATTTTAACAATATTTTTTTTAAGCATATTAACATTAACTAACCTTATCACCGATCAAGGTTTTTACTATTTCACCTTCAACACCATGGTTAAAATGAGAATTTTTTCCATAAAAGCAATGAAGACGATTTGGTTGTTTATGTAAGAAAGTATAATACTCTTGTACGAATATCCATCCAATTTCATTAATGTCAATAACAGGTGGAGAAGTGTTAGCTTTTTCGTTAATAGGTTGTTGTTGTAGGTCCATTTGTGTTATAAATCAATATTATTTGTATTTGTGTCCAAAATATAAAATTCACATCACTGATCTTTACCAAAATAAAAATAATTTCACGATGTGATAATCCGACGCAGCAATCAATTGTTAAACAAAAATTTTTTTGAATATCCTATTTATAATGATTCAAATTTAATAAAATAGACTATTGTCTTGACCCAACTGATGTGATTTTTTTGCTCTTTACGACGAAGAAGACGCAATCCAATCCCAACTTAACTTTAATGTTAACGTGCTACGCGAGATCAAAGATTTAATATCACGGCATGCAAAAGCTCACGTTGCCTTTTTATACTAATAAGAGACAGCGACATGGAAAATTTCTCATTTATTTGTGTTAAGCAAGGAAATATCAACCACAACACATAATATCAATAATCATAATGTCTTTTAGTCTTTTACACTAATTAAAGATGTTCCCCAAAAGCTGGTACTTTGATTATTTTGTTTCTTGATCATTTTGTGTGATGTTAATATATACATAAAAACAGAAGATTTGGCGATCACATATTATTAATCGTAATTTTACCTCAGAGACGCATATATGAGAGATTTGATCATAAAATTCAATATATTTATTAATTTGCAAAAGCTTTTAATTAACAGTTAGACTAAGAAACATATTCACATCTGTTCGTACAAAATAAATTTCTGCACATTATTAATATTTTATAATTCTACTCTCATAATAAGATAAATACATAAATTTAATCATTTCGCTCTTTTTTACGCCATTTACGAGCATGATTATCTTCCTAGTGTTTCATGAAAGTGTAATCATTTGAGAAAGTTGCACCGCATTTAAGACAGTTAATTGTTTCATCACTTTCTGATGATGATGATTCCGAGGATTTCTAATCAGTTGTAAATGATAAACCTATTCCTATTCAACAATCCACTTCACTTCAAAACCATCATGTTGTTGCTAATACTCCCATTCAATCAACAGCCAATAGTCAATCCACACAAACTAAATTACCTCTAGTAAACGTTAATAAGTCACCAAAATTGTTGCCCCAAGATATTAGTCAAACTATTAGCAAAGTTGATGACGAACAATTAACTACTACTGACACTATAAATGAACCCGAACCTGCATTAGAAAATGAAATTACAACAAATGGTGTAGATAAAGCTCAAAAGACCAACAATGAACAAGTTAAAAACACTATTCAAGAACCTGTTAAAAAACTTACTTCAATTGTTACCACCAAACCTAATAACGATGGCAATAATAATAATAATAACACCCAATCATTAAATAAATCTACTCCTCCAGTAAAGACATGGGCAAATTTAGCTGCAAATAATGCTGATAAATGGAATAATGAAGCTTTGTTAGACCCTAAAGGACATGTGACAACTGTTACTACTCCTATAGTAAAAAATCAAAGAAACTCATTACAGCAACAAAAACGTGATAATCATGATAGTCATGATCGTTCTCAAGATGGACAAAGAATTGGTGTTCGTCGTGTCAGTGGTAAATGAAATGTGTTACTAATAAAATGTTATTTTGTCATTGCATACACAATTATTTAATTAACTTATTAACCTATTGACTAATTAATTTAATGAATAAATACTAGAAACAGGATTTTCCATCTATGTCAAAGGTGTTAAACCTGGTATGACTTATGATTTATTGAAGGGTAAATTTTCAAAATTTGGTAATGTTAAACATCTTGACGTTGTTCCTACAAGAGTAAGTACTAACTTTATAATTAATTAAAAAAAAAACTTTTTTGATAATAATAATAATCAATCAACGTTTACTAATTAAATTTATTAATGATGGACAGAATTGTGCATTTGTAGAATATTCTTCATCAGAAGCATATCAGTATGCCCTCAATGCAAAATCTATTGAGGTGAATAATGTCACTCTTTATATTGAAGAACGTCGACCCCCTCGACGCAATAATTATAATAATAAAGGTGTTCAACAACATAATAGAAATTATTAATTATTCTGGCATTTATTTATTTATATAATAAATATATAAAATATTGTATATATTCAGCAAAAATCGAAATAAAGAGCAATGAAATCATTACTATTGTTTCCTTCTTGTTTAGGTGAGGTCTAACTTGATTAATTTGATATTAAAAGAAAGAGATTAAGATTAATTGCCTTACTGTTTGGAGTTTGTTCTTAATCTCAATTGAAAATAAAAAATACATTTAATAATCTCTTCTAAATACCAAATTTTCATATCTAAATAGAAACATGTAATGCTATTTTCCATCTATTTGGTAATAATTGTTCAATTATTTCATTCCATTTACTAATAAAAACTCCAGTAAAACTAATTAAAATAGAGATTTTGCATTCCCAATCCTCCACTTTGTAACAAATAATATTTGATTTAACCCATATTTGTTTTAAGATATTAAGAACATGCAAGGAAAATAACGAGTTTTGAACACAACGGATGCTGATTATTAACAAGAGAAAATATTGATATTTTCTCCTTATGGGAAGATTATCCTCAAATAGGTCAAGCAACTTGAATGTCTGTTATTTTCGACCCTTTGGTTCGTGAGTGATTTTTGTCTATTTGTATGATCATAGAAAGGAGCTAAAGTCGCATTAAAATCATCTGCAATAATTATGGGATTGTCATCTTTTTGCTTTGTTATACCACTCAGTCATAATAATGCTCTAAACCTTGTTAAGTTCTATAAAAAAGTAATAATATTAAATCCAAACCTTTTTAAGTGTCACGACTCGTTAACATTTCTTTTGCATTTCTTCTATTGAGTACTGCATATGGTTGTTGGTGTTATGGTTTTTTATTGTGGTTGTAGGTTTTTTCTTGAGATTATGTTAGGTTAAAAAAGTGATCGATTTAAAATACAGGCAGGATGATTGGCATTCTAGTCGATATAATTTTGAGCAAAATGTTGGAAATGTTGTGATTATAATGGTATTTTATCCCTTCTATCATTTGCAGAAGACGCATTATACAAGTGGATTGTACAAAATATAGAACTATTTACAGGTGACACACTACTCCTCTATAATAGGCAATATGATAATATGAAAATGGTCAGCTAATTTTTCTAAATTTTGGGTGAAAGAAAGAGATCAACCACTTTCCACCAATCTCGGCAACCACTTTGAGTTTGATGATAGCTACCTATTCAAAAGTCTTAAAACCTTTCCAGGATCAGGAAAATTGGTGACCCTTCACATAAAAAGGATAGTCTCGACCAAAACTTATTATTGCCTTCGCCTCAAAACCTCCTTCTCCAACCAAATATTTTGTTCTAGTGAGAGTGAATAACTTGGTGGATCTAGAGTCTTTTATAGCTAAATCAACATTCTTCCAATATATATCTTTACTTATACTAGGTCCAATCACGCTCAGGAATTGACTATTGTTTTTCACGTAAGAATTCGCTTACATGAAAACATTGTCCTTGACCTGGTCTTAATGGTTGTTCATTTTCACCCAAAATTGTTTTAACCGCGAAATATAAAGTAACCAAAATGTAGATTTTTCCCAGGCTTAAAGATAGTAACCTGACTTCATTTGTATTATTTTCTTCAAACATAGTTATCAATTTCTTCCAAAAAGTATTTTTTACTATCTTACTACATCAGATCGCTCACGTTCATCAATACATATGCCTCTATTATATTTTTGCCTTCCGATCCCTTTTTTTTAAAACAATGTCTTCCAGTTGTCTCTCTGAATTGTTTTTTGTTTTACATATCGGTCAATGAAAGGTTTTTTCTGATTAAATATAATCAATTAGTCACTGAATTTTAAGAGCAAAATTACATCATTTAAAAATATTAATTATTTACCCCACGCTTTTTGAATATCTTAATCTAGCGTCTAAAAATAAATTGATGATCAAATATCTTAAACATTAGTTTGTGTTCATGTATTGATAATCAATTTATTATTTATATATTTATATAAATATATTGAATTAATTTTATAACAATGACGTGTAATAAAACCACTACTAAAATTTTGATTGGGACTACGGGTAGCGTTGCAAGTATTAAACTGCCATTACTTGTAAAATCTTTATTGGAGGTTATATTATTATTATTATTATTATTATTATTATTATTATTATTATTATTATTATTATTATTATTACGAATAATGTCATTTTAAATTGTTAGGAATTAATTATTTTCAATTTTCAATTTCAATAGTTTGAAAATGTAGAATTAAAAATCATTTCTACTGATAGAGCTTTACATTTTTTTGATAAAGAAGCAATAAAGAAAGATTATGGAATACAAGTCACAACGGATGAAGACGAATGGAAGGTAGAGATTAAAATTAATTAACTTATTATATGAATAAATAAATAAAAATAATCAATATTATTTATACAAATAAGACTTGGGATAAAATTTCAGATCCGGTTTTACACATTGAGGTAAAATATAATATTATTTATATATATTTTAACCTTACAAAATATTTTTTTATTAACAAATCAAAAATAAATTTCAAATTTACAAAAAGTATCGAAATTGGGCAGATGTTTTTTTAATTGCACCATTGGATGCTAATACACTTGCAAAAATAGCAAATGGATTATGCGATAATTTACTTGTTAGTGGATCATTTTCTTTCATTAATATATAGCAACAATAATATTTAACGTATATAACATTTATAATAAAACTACCAATTTATTTAGACTTGTATATTAAGGGCATGGGAATTGGGAAAACCGGTGATAGTATGTCCAGCAATGAATACTCATATGTGGAATAATCAATTTACTGCACAGCATTTATCGATTCTAAAGAAACAATTAAATTTTGACATTATTCAACCAATTAGTAAAACTTTGGCTTGTGGAGACACAGGTTAGGATTTAAATCCAAAGTAAATAAATACATTACATATTATACATTTGTGTATTTATATAAATATATTATTTAGGTGTTGGAGCAATGGTTGAAGTTTATACGATAGTTGAATATATTCAAAATAAATTGCTTTTAATACGAAAGTCTGAAAATAAAGATTGAATTCCTCATTAAATAATATTTTATTATGTGATCGACATGCGCTTAATTTCATCTTGATTAGATTTTATTAAAACAAAAAATGTCAATATATGTTTTAGGAAGATGTGGAATGCTAAACAGATATTTAATTAGCCCTTACATAAAAACGCCAACATTACATTTATTTGAAACTTTCCAACAAAATAAAAAAATTTTTAAACAAAAAATTTTTTATTCTCAATTTTCGGCATTATCTTCCAATGGTAACAATTAATGTCATTATACGTAAATAATGAATATATTTATATTTATATACATTGATTTGAAATTAGGAGAAGTTCCAATAAGAACGCATACTTGTGGTGAGTTACGAATTGTTAATGTTGGACAGCATGTTGTGTTAAATGGATGGGCTCAGAAAATCCAGTAAGTAATTATATAATGATAGTTTTTTTAATTAAAAAATAAACAAAAAACAATTTATAATAAATTTATATAGTAAGTTATCACCTGGACTGATATTCCTACCTATCCGTGATTCTCATGGTATAACACAACTTGTATTAAGAAACGAGAACTTGTCTAATAATAAAAAACCCGATTTGCTTGAAAAATTATCCAACTTATCCATCGAAAGCGTTATTTCTATACAAGGCATGGTTATGGGGCGACCTAAAGAAACTATAAATAAAGTAATCTTATTGATTTTAAATAATAATATATCATCACTATCACTATCACTATTAAAATAAAAACTTTTAAATATTAGAATATGGAAACTGGAGAAATTGAAGTGGAAATTAATGATTTAGTTTGCTTAAACCCTGCAATCAAATTACCATTTTTTGTTTCAGATAAATTGGTATAAATGATTTATTAAATAATTTATTTAGTTATTAAAGAATTAAAATAAACAACTTAATTTTTATAATTCTTAGCCTAATGAAGAAGTCAGATTCAAACATAGATTCGTTGATTTAAGAAGTGAACTTCTCCAGAAAAATCTTCGTAAACGCTCTTTAACATCATCAATTATTCGTGACTTTCTTAAAAGTGAAGGTATATAACACTTTCCAATGTTTATTATAATGTAATTCACATTATTAAAAAATTATTTTTATCGTTAGGATTTCTCGAGGTAGAAACACCCATATTATTCAAATCAACTCCAGAAGGTGCACGAGAATTTATTGTACCAACAAGAACAAAAGGGTCATTTTACGCTTTAACACAAAGCCCACAACAAGTTTGTCCATTTTATATGTTTATATATTCTTTTTTATATTTAATCGTTTGGAGTTTACCTGTAGTTAAAATAGATTTGTTTGACTCATCAAGTACAAACAATTACTTATGGCAGGAGGAATTGACAAATATTTTCAATTTGCAAAATGTTTTCGTGATGAGGATTTAAGAACTGATCGTCAACCAGAATTTACTCAAGTGGGAGACTTTTTTATTTTTCTTATTTTAAAAATTGTTGTTTATGCTTTTAAATTAATCAATTTAATTGTTTATTTAGATTGATTTGGAAATATCATTCATTTCAATGTCTGGTATCAAATCACTAATCGAGAAATTGTTGGTTAAAATATGGAAGGATGCTTTAAACATTGATTTAAATCCATTTCCTACGATTTCTTATGAAAAAGCTATGTCTAAAGTAATCAATCAATACATCTTCCATTTTTTAATATTAATCAAATCATAGAACAATAATAACAATATAACAATAAATCCTATTGTTTAGTATGGTTCTGATAAGCCAGATACACGATATGAAATGGAGGTAATTAATTAAAAGTTACATTTATTAATTATTAATTATTTATTATTATTAAAAATTATATTTGGTTTCCAGATTAAAAATATATCTCAACATTTATCTGATATTTTGGGAAATTCTTCAGAAATTATTGAATGTCTTGTCATTAAAAAGAGTGATAATTCCATTCTAAGTCAAATCAAACACCT